ACATGCTATACATATAAGAATCTGTGGAGAATATATATAAGAGCTTATTAACACTGTGGGGAATACATAGGTCATTTAAGGACAGTATGTTATAATGGAAAGGGTATAGACTTTGAAGTCAAATGAATCTGGATCCAAATCCTTCTTTGGAAATTCCCTTAATTTTTCTAAGCATAGATTTCTCATCTATAAAATGGAGAAAATTGGGGCGCCTAGGTGGCTCAGTGGGTTAAGCCTCTGCTTTTGGCTTGGGTCATGATCTCGGGGTCCTGGGATCAAGGCCCGCATCGGGCTCTCTGCTCAGCGGGAAGCCTGCTTCCCCTTCTCTCTCTTCCTGCCTCTCGGCCTACTTGTGACCTCTCTCTGTCAAATAAATAAATAAAATCTTTAAAAAAATAAAATAAAATGAAATAAAATGGAGAAAATACGATTACAGAATTGTGAGAATTATAGCTAATATATAAAGCACCAAGCATAACACTTAGCCCACAGTAGGTATTTAATAACTAACTGGTAGCTATGATTTTTATAATGGGAGAAAGCTTTTGCCCTCAAGTAGGGTAGAAAAGATAAACAATTATGATTTTTTAATTGGGATATTTATAGGATATGGGAGATTGCAACAGTGGTTCTGATTCCTCACCCATTATGGAATCGATGCCTTTAACATACAACTTTGCAGTATGCTCCCAATGTGGACTCAGGTGTGTGACTTCTTTTGTCCAGTGGAGATGCTGGGCAAGCAAATGTGAATATAAGCAGAATCATGAAAAGCACTTGTGCAAATGGCTGGCCTACTCTTGCTATTCTGGTATCATCACATCCAGGCTAGTCTGTTGATCGCAGAAGGGTCAGAAGCAGCTGAAGCAAGGCTGTCCCAGCAAAGCCCAACCTAGATCAGACTACCAGTTGACCTGCCAGATGCATGAATGAGCCCAAGTGAGACTAGCAGAGCTGTCCAGCTGGGCTCAGCTCAGCTCAGCCCTGCAGGTATACAAGAAATAAATGTTTATTACTGTCTGCTTTTGAGGTTTTGTGGTTGGATAGTACATAGCAATTGCTAACTAATATATAGGGTTATATTTTCTGTCTTTAAAAACTGAAGATTTTCACTTCCTTGATACTCTTGACCAAATGAAAGACAACGTTAGGGTTTCCTGAGTCAAAGACATACTTATAGAGCATTTCTACTCGATACAATATGGATTCTTAATTCACCTTATAAACTTAAAAGGTTTTATTTGATCTTTTATCAAACTTTTCTCTTTAACAAATAACTCATTTGCTTAAAAACTCAGAAGTTGGGGCACCTGGGTGGCTCAGTGGGTTAAAGCCTCTGCCTTAGGCTCAGGTCACGATCCCAGGGTACTGGGATCGAGCTCCGAATCAGGCTCTCTGCTCAGCAGGGAGCCTGCTTCCTTCCCTCTCTGCCTGCCTCTCTGCCTACTTGTGAACTCTGTCTCTATCAAAAAAATAAATAAAATCTTTAAAAAAAAAAAAACCTCAGAAGTCTATACTTAACTACAGGTGAAACTATCTGTAGTAGTTAGTAGTACCTGTCTGTTTCAAGTTCAATTAATGCCTACAATTTCATTATTTTTTCAAAGACTTTATTTACTTATTTGAGAGAGAGAGAGTATGCACATAAGCAGGGGGTGGGGTAGAAGGAGAAACAGACTCCCAGCTAAGCAGGCAGGCAGACAGACATAAACCACTGAAGACGCTGGCCTTTTCCCCCCAAATTCAGAGCACTGCTCATCCCAAGGCCTATGTGTAGAGCACATGTGATACAAAGGCTTGGAGGACAGGGGCTTGATCCCATGACTCCAGGATCACAACCTAAGCCGAAGGCAGACACTTAACTGACTGAGCCACCCAGGCACCTTAAAGCCTATAATTTTATTTTTTAATTAATTTTTAAAAGATTTTATTTATTTATTTGAGATAAAGAGAAAGAGAGTGCAAGGGAGGGGGCAGAGGGAGGGGGAGAAGCAAGCTCCCCACTGAGCAGGGAGCCTCACGTGGGGCTTGATCCCAGGACACTGGGATCATGACCTGAGCTAAAAGCAGACACTTAACTGACTGAGTCACCCAGGTGCCCCCAATGTCTATAATTTTAAAGAAGACTCACGGAAATGGTTCAAGCCCAGAAAAGTCCAGATCACTACTGTACCTGAGAAATACTATTCCTAATACTATCAGTACTTTATAGGCACTAACAAGAGCTATGTTTTTCTGCTGTAATTATTGACAAAGTATTTTAAGAGAAATAAGACATGGTATTCACATTATTATAAAGAGCAGCATTCCACCAGTCAGAAAAATCTACTAAATGTCATCTAAGTTCCCAGGGCTATGCTAGATGTTATTAGTAATTTATTTTTCTAATCCTTAGTGAAACCAAGAGCTGTGCTGCCAAGTCAAATTATGGGATAAACACAGGATTCCCCAGAGATCTATGCCATGATGGCCTTTGCTGATCCCCTTCTGAAAATAACCATAAGCATTTGGATATTTGGGCTGCATGACCATCAGCCTATTAACATCGTAGTAAAAATTATTTATGTTATAAGCTATGCCAATATCCATCAATGATACTGGAAATACACACTCTTTCACAAAATAGGCACTATATTTTATATATGGCTATGAATATGAATAAGACAACAAACAACAGAAAATATTATTTAAGTACAACATGGACAAAGAATGCTGCATTAAGGGGCGCCTGGGTGGCTCAGTGGGTTAAAGCCTCTGCCTTAGGCTCAGGTCATGGTCCCAGGGTCCTGGGATCGAGCCCCACGTCCGGCCCTCTGCTCGGCGGGGAGCCTGCTTCCTCCTCTCTCTCTCTCTCTCTCTGCCTACCTCTCTGCTTGCTTGTGATCTCTGTCTGTCAAATAAATAAATAAAATCTTTAAAAAAAAAAAAAAGAATGCTGCATTAAGATCATTCAAGTCTGCCACTCCCATTACACCCCAAATCTGAATCTGCAACACGATTACAGATTTTAAAGCATTTTCTTCTTTGTCAGCAAAACCAACATACAAGCCCTTCCAATAAACTTACATTTCAGAGAACAATGATATAACAAAGAAGTATAACAAATATTTTAAAAATTATTAGTGTCAGAGCTCTGGCAGATAGAAAGCTTCAGAGAAGGAGAGAGTTTTGTCTTTGAAGAATTTATAGACTCACTTCTGAGAAAAGAAATACATAGAAAATGTTTTTTTGATCTGGAATGCTGGTTATGGGTGTGTTCATTTGTAAAAATTTAGTGAGCTATACATGTATCATACGTGTGCTTTTTTTATGTCATACTTCAATAAAAAGTTGTTAAAAATTTTAATAACATTAACAGCAGTACTGAAAAGCAATATTAAATACCAAATGAAAAACATTGACAATTCAAGGAATTCAGGAAGGACAAGTCAATGTTAGTAACAAAAGCTGTAATAGTTAAAATGTATTAATGAATTACTACATGCCAGGCACTGTGCCAAATAAGCATTTTACAAAATCCCTGTGAAATCATCATTTTATCAGCAAGATCTGCCATAATTACTTACTCCCTCCTCCTTGAAACGCCTTTCCATTCCAGGCCAATACAATTCTCTTGGTTTTTTTCCTAACTCACTAGCTACTCCCTCTCAAAATGCCTTTCTCCTTTGGCTTTTAAAATTGAAATACTCTAGGGCTCAGACACTGGTCTTCTTCTCTCTCTAGACTCCCTGGGGCAGATACTATTATTATTATTCCCATTTTATAGACGACAACACTGAGACACAGAGAAATTCAAACCTAGGCAATCAAGACGTCAGAGGTCATGCTCTTAATTACCTCATTATTCTGCCTTCTTTGACTTTCCATAAAAGAGGCAGGACAGAGGGTGCCTGGGTGGCTGGGTGGGTTAAGCCTCTGCCTTCAGCTCGGGTCATGGTCTCAGGGTCCTGGGATGGAGCCCTGCCTCGGGCTCTCTGCACTGCATCGGGCTTTCTGATCAGCAGGGAGCCTGCTTCCCCCCTCTCTCTTTGCCTGCCTACTTGTGATCTCTCTCTCTCTCACACACAAATAAATAAAATCTTTTAAATAAAATCTTAAAAAAAAAAAAAGGCAGGACAGAGCTACACACATTCCACATTCTGATGCCCTCAGTAACTGAAAAAAGAGACAAAGAGTGAAGCATATAGGACCTTCCATCATTAGATATTAATGACTAAAACGAGGCACCAAGCCATCAGGAAATGAACATTCACAAATCCTGTAAAACAGTTTTCCTTCCTAAGTTTCTTTACTTTGTATTTTGGTACTTAATTCCCAAGGAAAATTGTGAACACTTTCTAGTGCATAGATTCTCAAATCTAGATGCTCATTTGAATAATCTGGGGAGCTTTTAAAAATGCACATGGACCCGATGAAAACCTACCAAACTAGATTTCAGGGATCTGTGTTTCTAAGAAGCACCCAAGCAAATTCTGAAGCTGACAGCTCAGTACCTGAATTTAGGAAGACTTTGTTCTAGAAAGGATTCTCTGTCTTCAGAGGCTAAGTAGTGACTGTCACATATTACCTGCTTAGAAGAGGCTGAAAATGAAATGAGACTGGAGAGGTAAACTAATTCCAATTAGTAATAAGACCAATCAGGACACTACAGCAGTGACAGTGGAATTCTAGATCAGGACACCAAACATTTATGTTTGTTGCCATGAAAGAGTCTACAACCAAGTGATGCCATCCCTTAGCCTAGGAAGGGGTCATCCAGGCAGCAAGAATCAATATAATATTTGAGCACTCATATTCTCAGAGTACTCATGAAGTATTATGAGGGAATCCAAGAATATTAAGAAATACAGCCATTGTCCCCAGGCAAGAGAAGAAAGCACTGTTAACACTGCTATTTTTGCATAAATATCAATGCATTATACAAACAACAATCACTATGGAACCCAAAATGCTGAAACTAAGGCAGAGAAGCCACTTCAGTAGGCTTACTTAAGTCTTACCTCTGTAAGCGCATGCAACTGTCCTTGATGTACACACACACCCATGAACCTATGAAACAAAACACATTTTTTTTAAACAAATGAAAATACCACAACTGCCATATTGAGAAACTAGTTTAGTTACTCATGCATTAGGAACAATCCAATACCTGTGAAGTCTCCTGGGTTCCTGTACAACCCTGTAGCCTCTCTAACTTTGATACCAGGCTGGTAAAATTCTAAGTTTACCATGAAACATCTGGTTGTGGCAAGATCTAGTGGTAAAAAACAACTGTGGAAGAGAGAAAGGAGTAAGCCTTAAAAATAGCATGGTATATTAGAAAAGGCACCAAAGCACCAAACTGGAAGTAGGGAGACTTGATGTTGGTTTCACGTCCACTACCATCTAGCTACATGCTCAAGAAAATTTTTTTAAAAATTTTTAAAAAGGAGAGAGATAGAGAGACACTAACACTATCTGAACTTCAGTTTCCTCATGTAGAAAGTAAGCAGGTTGGACTAGCCAATCTGAAGGTCTGTAATTTACAAACTAGTAACTATGAGGGCGGGGGAAGCACCCATATGCTGGAAGACAAAGGACTAACTTCCTTTACATTAAAAGAACTCCTCCAAATATGTTAAAAAAAAAAAAAAAAAGAAGAAGAAGGAGAAGAAGAAGAAGCAGAAGCAGCAGCAAAGGTGTCTTGTTGGCTCAGTTAAGCATCTGCCTTTGGCTCAGGTCAGGATCCCAGGGTCCTGGAATCAAGCCCCAAGTAGGGCTCCCTGCTCAGCAGGGAGCATACTTATCCCTCTCCTTTGTCCCCCTCCCCCGCTTACTCATGCTCACTCTCTCTCTCTCTCTCAAATAAATAAAATCTTGAAAAAGAAAAGGAAGCAAAAAAAAAAAATGCATGTAATTCACAGAAAAGTAAAATGTCTAATAAAAATATCAAAATGCTCGGGGTGCCTGGGTGGCTCAGTGGGTTAAAGCCTCTGCCTTCGGCTCAGGTCATGATCCCAGGGTGCTGGGATCGATCCCCGCATCGGGCTCTCTGCTCAGCAGGGAGCCTGCTTCCTCCTCTCTCTCTGCCTGCCTCTCGCCTACTTGTGATCTCTGTCTGTCAAATAAATAAATAAATAAATAATATCTTAAAAAAAAAAAGAAAAATATCAAAATGCTCTAATTCACTCATAATTGAAGAAATATATATTAAAAGAAGATAATTGTTTTTTAAAATCTATCAAATGAACAAAGATTAAGATTTATCATGCTCAGTGTTGTCCAGAAGGTGAGAAAACAGGAAGAAGAAACATGTTAAGTTCTTCGCACAACTTTTTCAAAGGATAATTGATTATATCTAGCAAACATTTTAATAGCTCCAACAGTTCCACTTCTCAGAATTTATGTTACAAATATACTCAATTTGGGTACATATAAAAGGACATTTACTTCACCACTGTATATCAAATACCTGCCAATAAAAGACTAAATATTTATAGTATATTCACAGATTGGAATACTATACAGCCATTTAAAAGGAATGTAATAGATCTTTATGCACTGATATGGAAAGATATCCAAAATATACTGTTAAATAAACACAGTGAGCTACAAATCCCATTTATATTTTAAAAAGTCTGGATATTAATAGAAAATGTCTAGGAAGCACTAATAATAATAATATATGATGTCATATGTGGAATCTACAAAAAAAAACCAAGATAAAAACAGACTCATAAATACAGAGAACAAATTGGTGATGGTTGTGGGAGAAAAGGGACAGAGATGGGAGAAACAGCTGAAGGGGATGAAGAGGTACAAACTTTCAGTTACAAATAAGTCATGGGAATGTAAAGTACAACACAGAGAATATGGTCAATAATATTGAAATAATTTTGCATAGTGACAAATGATAACTACACTTAGGATAAGCATTTCATAATATATATAAATGTTGAATCACTATGTTGCACACCTGAAACTGATATATTGTATATCAACTATATTTCAATTTTTTTAAGACTTTATTTATTCATTTGACACAAAGAGAGAGAAAGCACAAGCAGGGGGAGCAGCAGGCAGAGGAAGAAGCAGGATCCCACTGAGCAAGGAGCCCAATGCAGGACTCAATCCCAGGACCCTGGGATCATGACCTGAGCTGAAGGCAGACACTTAACTGACTGAGCTACCCAGGTGCCTCTCAACTATACTTCAATTTAAAAATAGAAAGAAGAAAAGAAGAGGGGAAGATACTTGAGAACTATCTGGGGAGAAGGCCAGGTAAACATAGAGGCAGAGATAAAAGTTATGCTGCCACAAACCAAAGAATGTCTGGAGTCACCAAAAGCCAGAAGAAACAAGAAAGGATTCTCCCCTACAGCATCCGAAGGAAGTGTTGCCTATGGATACCTTGATTTCAGACTTTGGAACTGCGACAGAATAAATTTAGATTGTTTAAAGCCACAGGTTTATGGTACTTTGTTAGGCAGTCCCAGTTAACGAATACAATGCATGACTGATTTTGTACAAAGTAGATGCAAAGGCAATTTGGTAGAGCAAAAATAGTGTTTTCAACAAAGGAAGCATGAACATCTGGATACACACATACAAATAAATTTGGATTAATACCTTTTAGTATATATAAAATTGACTTAAGATGGATCATAAACCTTAATGTAAAACCAAATCTATAGGGTGCATGGGTGGCTTGGTTGGTTAACAACTGCCTTTGCCTTAGGTCATGATCCTGGAGTCCCAGGATTGAGTCCCACATCGGGCTCCCTGCTCAGCGGAGAGTCTGCTTCTCCCTCCAACTTCTCTCCTCTCATGCTTTCTCTCTCTCATTCTCTCTCTCGAATAAACAAATCTTTTAAAAAAATCTATAAAATATCTGGAAGAATTCATAGAAGAAAACCTTTGTGACCTTCTGTTAAGTAAAGTTTTCTTAGACATGACACCAAAGCATAATCTATAAAATTAAAAATTGATTAAACTTCTATTTTTTAAGATTTTATTTATTTATTTAAGAGAGAGTGAGCAAGAGAGAGAACACACGCAAGGGCAGAGGGAGAGGGAGAAGCAGGCTCCCCACTGAACAGGTAGACTGATGCAGGCCTTGATCCCAGGACTCTGAGATAATGACCTGAGCCAAGTGACCACAAAGCCACCCAGTCTCCCCAATTAATTAGACTTCTTAAAATCAAAATCTTGCGCTTTTTTAAAAAAAGATTATTTATTTATTTATTTATTTATTTGAGAGAGAACAGAGCGTGCGAGAACACGAGTGGGAGGCACAGTGGGAGAGGGAGCAGACTCCCCATTGAGCAGGGACCCCAGTGAGAGGCTTGATCCCAGGACCCTGGGACCATGACCTGAGCTGAAGGCAGATGTCCAACTAACTGAGCCACCCAGGTGCCCTATCTTGAACTCTTTCTAAGACAGTTAAGAGAATGAAAAGACAAGTCATAGGGGCTCCTGGCTGGATGAGTGGATTAAGCCTCTGCCTTCGACTCAGGTCATGATCTCAAGATCCTTGGATCAAGCCCCGCATGGGGATCTCTGGTCAGCAGGGAGCCTGCTTCCCCCTCTCTCTCTGCCTACTTGTGATCTCTCTCTCTCTCTCTCTCTGTCAAATAAATAAATAAAAATCTTAAAAAAAAAAGACAAGTCATAGATTGCAGTGCATATACCTAAGAAAGATTTGTGTTTAGATTTTTTTTAAAGATTTATATACTTATCTTAGAGGAGGGAGAGGCAAAGGGAGAGGGAGAGAATGCCAAGCATACTCCACACTGACTGTGGAGCCCAACATAGGGCTTGATCCCAAAAACCGGAGATCACAGCCCCACCCAAAATCAAGAGTATGATGTTCAACTGACTGAGCCACCCACCCCATGTTTAGATTTTTTTTAAATCTCTCAAAACACAATAATAACCCAATTTAAAAAATAGAGAAAGAATAAAACAGACAATTCACTAAAGATATACAGATGGAAAATAAGTACATGAAAAGATCAAGATCTTTAGGGAAATGCAAATAAAAACAATAAGATGTACTAGACATCTATTAGAATGTCTAAAATTAAGGACTTTCAGTACCAAATGATGGCAAAAATGAAGAGCAACTGGAATACCCATGCAGTGCTGGTGGGAATGTGAAACGGTACAACCACTTTGGAAGACACTGAGGTAGTTTCTTAAGTAAACATGTACCTATCATATGATCTAGCTATTCCACTCCTAGGTATTTAAAACAAAAGAAATGAAACCATATGTCAACACAAAACTTTTACACAAATACCCATTAGCAGTTGAAGGGATAAAACAAATTATGGTATTCATACAACAGACTAATTACTCAGCTACAAAAAGGAAATATGCAACAGTGGATAAATCTCAAAATAATTACGCTGACTAAAAAATCTGGACCCAGGCTCCTAGGTGGCTCAGTTGATTAGGCAACTGCTTTCAGCTCAGGTCATGGTCCTGGAGTCCTGGGATCAAGTCCCACATTGGGCTCCCAGCTCCGTGGGGAGCCTGCTTCTCCCTCTGACCTTCTCCCCTCTCATGTTCTCTCCCACTGTCTCTCTCTCAAATAAATAAAATCTTTAAAAATATAAAAATAAATAAATAAATAAATAAAAGTAAGAAATCTGAACCCAGTAAATTACATACTATCCCATTCCATTGATATAAAAGTCTATAAAGTAAAATGAATCTATAGTGACAAAAGCAGATTTATAGGTGCCTGAGAGGTGTGGAGTTTATGGGGGTGAAAAGGGAAGGGAGGAGGACATGTTCACTACCTCATGTTGATGGTTTCATGGGTGTATATACATATGTCAAAACTTATCGCAGTGCACACTTTAAATGTGTGCAGTTTATTGTATATCATTTAAATCTCAAAGCTATAAAACGAAGAAGAAGAAAAACAGTAAGTGGTACTGACCAGGTAAGGGTAATTTTTATTTTTTAGCATACACACTTACGTTATATTTGAAGCCTTTTTAACCAACAGGTTATATTTATGTGTAAAAATAATTTAAAATATAAATTTTAAATTAAAATGA